GCTTTTGCCTCTGTCAGGCCCCGCCTGGCCCGGGCCTGCAGCCGCCAGTGACCTGTTTCCTTCCACCTGGGCGGGTCGGGGGCTGCGCGCATTGGGGCCCCTTAGGGAAACCCAGGCCTCCAGGAACCCCGCCGCTCCAGGACTCGGCGCGGAGGGAGTGACTGAGCGACGACCGAGGCAGGGGTGATGTGGTGGTACCGCGAATGCTGGGGAAACGGCAGGAATGATGACCCGGCCGGACCTTAGACCCGAGATCGATGAGAGGCCGCCAGCACTGCCCGGGAGACGGCCCGCGCTTCTCCCCCTCCTGCTGCGGCCTCCGCCAGAGCCCGGTGTTATTTCCTGCCCCTCCTGTCGGGAACAATTTGAGGAACCAACTTAATCGCTTGGCTTTGAGGGCGCGACGCTTCCAGGCGCTCTCCTCGGCTCTGTCCCGCGGACCCGTGGAGCCTGGGTGACGGCGCCTGGGCCGGAGGAGGGGAGATGTTTGCGGTCCCTGGCCAAGATGAATCAGCGTGACCGTCCCGTCACCCTTGAGGGGAAAAAAAAAAGTTTCAAGAAGGCTTGAAAGGTGTGATTTGTGTAAAGTTAACTTTAGGACAAATGAGCGGTGCTTTCCTGGCATGGGAAGGGGATGGGGGGTCCTCATTTACTGAGACCGTTTGTAACAGGTCAGGAAGAACTGAGCTCGGGTGCTTGCGTTTATCCGCTGTATGACCCAGAGCGAGTGGCTCTGCTTTTCGGGCCTCAGTAATGCAGTCTCTAAAATGCAGGCTTTGACAGATGGGCCTCTGAACAAAAACATTATCTTCCTATTGGTCCCTCCTTCTATTTTGTGAAACGGTAGCAAGAAACATTTTATCTGGAAGCCACCAAAAGAAAAGGAAATAAGGAAAGGAAGAAAAGGCTATAAATCGAGGGTAACTTTGATTCACAGTGAAGGCATTTCTGCTGATTTGTTCCAAGACAGGTTAAAAAAGAGATCACAAGGGACATTTTCTTCACAGTGTCTTATCGAATGTGCTGAGAAGAAAGCAAAAACGACAATCTAATAAAACAAGGAATTAATGTCTTTTAAGTCTAGGACCTAGCCAGGAAGACCTCCGGGAGTAAAAGTTGAGGCTTTAAAAGCATGGCAAAGATGGAAGATGCGGAGAAATTCCATCCATGTGTATTTGGTAAGCACCTTGGGCTGGTGGGTAAATAATTAAAATTTAAAATATAGCACTTTTCCCTGGAGCAGTAGTTCTCAAAGTGGTCCTTGGACCAACAACAGGTAAGTTCCCTGGTAACTTATGTGAAATGCAAGTTCTCAAGCCCCACCCCCAGACCCACTGAATCAGAAACTCTGAGGGTGGAGCCAGGAAGCTGTGTTTGAACAAGCCTTCCAAAAGACACTGATGCATGCTGAAGTTAGCTGCTGGTTTAGAGAAACTGTTATTGAGTATGGGGAAATAAGAGATACATACATGAAATGACTGGAGGAGACTCAACCATTATGCATAACATTTAGTGAACGCAAAAGACAGGGAGTCTAGACAACTCTATTTCCATAATACAAAGGACAATTCTTAAAATTCTTGGGGTCAGATGAATTTCTAAATTCAGATTTTGTTTTTCAATTTAGAAAGGTAAAATGTGCATGTATCATATATTACATAATACCTTCGGTAAGGTCTGGGGTGACACTCTACTAATTTTCTGCAAGGAAAATCATGAATTACATAATTGTATGCTTGGATTATCTATTGCAATGTAACAAATGTTCACAAAACATTAGCGGCTTAAAATCACCATTTTATTTGCTCAGAAATCTGTTGTGTCAGGAATTTGGGAAGGGTTTGACTGGCAGGTTCTTCTGCTTTGCATGGTGTGATTGGAGTCATTTACTCAGCTCCTTTCAGTTGGTGACTTGGCAGGGCTAGAAAATCCAAAAAATCTTCATTCCCATTTGAGCATTTCAGTGCTCTTTCAACTTGCCTCTCCGTGCAACTTTGGGCTTTCTAACAGTATGGATAAGCTCATGGTGGTTGGGCTTCTACCTGGCAGCTGGCTGCTGGAAGAGACTTTCTAAGATAGGCAAATGCAGAAGCAGATCTCTTAAGGCCCAGCCCTGAAGGCTACATAGACTCATTTCCACCACATTCTATTGGTCTAAGCCAATGAATGACAAGGCCAGCCAGATTCATGCAGAGGGGAAACAGACACCACCTGTGGATGGGAGGAGCAGTAAAGAATTATGGCTGTCTTTTAATCTAGGTGAGATAAAGACAAAGATAATGGCCGGGCGTGGTGGCTCACGCCTGTAATCCCAGCACTTTGGGAGGCCGAGGTGGGCGGATCACAAGGTCAGGAGATCGAGACCACGGTGAAA